AAACTATGAAATTGAAGATCAAGAAGGTAATCCACTATAATGTAGGAGGCAATTTAGTATGTAACAGGAATACCTGACAAATTAAGTAACTTTTGTTCTAATTAATATTTTTATTTTGTTTCCTCTACTAATATAACCAATATAAATTATTGACTTGTACGCTACATGTATAGTATTAGTATAATAGTTTTTAGTTCTGAAAATTTGTAAATTTGGTCTTTAGAAAACATTTGATTGTAAAAACATTTATCTAAGCCAAGTGGTTTAAAGTTTTATGATTTTTTAAAATGTCAAATTTTTTGAAGTCATTGATTTGAAAAATTATAATAGTTATTTTAAGATTTTAGTAGGTACCTATTTAAAAATTCTCATAAAATATTTTTTAAAAGTTTATACTTTTTGAATTTATAAAATGTTGAAACATAATGAGATTTCAAAATGTATTTTAAATGAACATACATAAATGTTTTTTACAATCAACATTTTTCTTAACACTGGATTTCTTAACATCCATTTAGAATTTTTCGAAAAAAATGTATATCTTAAAATTTTTATTTTCGATATTAAAAATAAAAATTTTATACATTGCTACATATGATATTAAAAAAGAAAAAATTAAACATTGTTTGGAACAAAAGTTATTTATTTGTCAGATTTTTTTGTTACACTATAATATTATGTAGACAAATTCAAAATTACCAACAAATTATAGATAATAATCAAGACCCGGAATATGAATTGGTTGAGAACGAAAGAGATTTAACTCTAAGTATGTACACAAAAACTAATATTTTATAATAAAATTACCGATAGCTTACTAATGAAATAAACTGGAGTTTTGTAAGAGAATAATAACTCATTAATTTATATTTGAGGACAATATTATTTTAATTTTAGGTTCTGAAGATGATTTTCTAGAAATAGATGAAATTCCGATTGTTGAAAATACTGTAGAAAACCAACCCGTGAACCATATTAATAATGTTGCTGAACTAGAAATGCCAGAACCTGAAGTTGATACTGTTGAAGGTTACAAACATTAAAAGAATATATTTACTAATCAATTACTAATAACCTATTCATTAATTACTTTAGTTATTACTTTCAAAGATTCAATCACGACAACAATAAAAAATAATTCCATACAGATTATTTAAATCATTATATTAATTGCATATTATTATTTTTCCCGATGAAAATATTGAAGAGCAAAGTGAAATTCCTGTAAGGCAAGAAGATGCTGAACCTCAAATCAATGTAGAAGGTACACTAATATAAGGAATAAGTATATTCCTATAAGTATATAGGAATATACTTTGAATTAATCAATTACCCAATCATAAATGAATATTTAGAATTGTGAATTGTTTTCTTACAATATTCATGAATTAATATTATAACTTGGTAAATCATAGACATTACACACTAATATTTTTTTCTAGATGAAAATGATTTCATTATTCCGGAGGACAGAGATTTGAACATTTGGCAACAATTTTTAAATGACTCTGACAATGATGCACATGAGATACCATTTGTTCAGATACCTCATAACCTAATCGAACTGTATCCACAACAAGATGAGGAAAATATATGTGTTGTATGTAGAATTTCGCAAAGGACACATGCGCTTGTGCCTTGTGGGCACAGGGTCTTATGTGTTGATTGCTTAGCGCAATTACAAGCATCCCGATGTCCAATTTGTAACGAAAATTTTAACCTACCTCTAAGAATCTAGTAAATTTATTTTAAAAGTAATACCTATAAATAAAGAATAGACCAGGATTAATTCACATGTGTTTTGTTGAAAAAGTATATGCATACCTACCTATATAATATTGTTTAATATATTATGACTTATGAGTTTCATGGACTGTATTAAAAATATAATTCTTATAGTTTCAAACCAATATATTATACTCACTGCGATCCTATGATAAGGTCTTAAGATATGAAATGATATTTTCTGAGGTATCAAATCCTGTGATTTTTCATGAAGAACCAGTACCAAATTGTCGGAAAAAACTTATGGCCCGAAGAGACACATAATCAACTATTACCAGCCATTAACTTTGGTGATGTATGTATCTATTTGTATTAATAAAACTATACAACTGTTTTTCCAAACATAATAGAATTTTTTTATATTATGCATACAAAAAGTATATTTTATAATAATATGAATAATAGATTAATAATTGTGCAACTGTATTCACTTCATATAGGAATGTATGATTTATTCATTCAATGAATTTGTTGCCGCGACACATTGTCGTGACCATCAGGCGATATGCAAAACAGCACAGCGGCGGCGACCAGTCTTATCTCTCTCCCTCTTCCTCATCCTCTTTGAATCGTTACTCGTCAGGTATGTGAATTATAATCACCCGTATAAATTAATTTATTATTATTGTTATCGTTGTCGTCATATTGCTTTTGTTTATATTATCTGTTTTTAATGTTGTTGGGATTACGCGGTCAACGCCCTTATTGTTGTTATTAAATTTTACCGTTCAAATTCTATGTATCACATCGTCGTATACATCTATATAAATTGTAAGAGAGTATTTTTTTGTTGGTTTGTGAATTTAAACATTTTGTTTCAATTTTTTTTTCTGCTATTGGAGCAACGCGGAATTGTTTGTTTTCATTGCCACTGCGGCAACGCGTAATCGTATACTTTTATTACCTGTTCTGTCATTGCGACACATATAAAATTCTGTACCGGCCGAGTCAGTGCGACACGAAGCCATTGTATAATTTTATTATTATAATAAAGCACCATCATTACCAGCATTTACGTGAGTTGTATTGTATTTCTGGTTGGGTATCACTATCGTGTACCTACAACTCGTCTCATCAGCTCGTCATTGAGACATCGTTGGACGGTGCTTTTCAATTGCCCGAGATCGGGATTGGTGCCATCAGTTAATGCGTAAGACCGCCAGCATCCGCCGTGGTGTGTGAGAGGCTGCCAAGGTCGTCGAGTCCATTCGCCGTCGTCTGTCATTTGTTGCAGCTTTCATCCACATCATCATCATCATCATCATCATAATCGTAGACTTAAGGGTAGATTTAAGTATTCGCCAATTTATGTAAGCTTGGTGGTCATTGCACCAAACCGATTCCGACCACCAAGACATCCCCCCCATATAACTAAACTCATCTTCCTTATTCCTGTGCATAAATTCAACTTCCTTGGTCCGGTAATTTTAAGTATCTTTAGTCCCATCCTAGCGTCGTCGTCGTCATATCTGGTTGCCTACCCGGTCATTCCAAGGCAGTGCACATTAAGTTGCCTACCCCGTCGAATCCAAGGCAGTGCGCATTAAGTTGCCCATGCCAACCATACTAGGATAGTATCATCATAACCTAGGTTCCATAATATCATCTCATCGTAACAAGCCCAAGTGGCAACAGAATTATTGGAAAATTTAAAATGTGTGAAACTACCTTTGGGTTGGAATTATATTCATGATCAGATAGCAGTAACATACCTATTCCTTAATAAAACATGAAAATCTTAATGAAATAAAAGCTGTGATCTATAAACAAATTGTTATATCATCTGAGTTACTTATCAATTGAGCATTACGACTTAATCACATTTCCTTGTAAAATACATAAGACAGAAATAATGACAACAATATTCCAATATTATATAACAATAAGGATGAAACAATTTACATTAGTACAAAACAAAGAAGTAAAACAAAACAGTTTTAAAAAGAAAAAGCTGTCAAAGTTGGTGCCTACGTAACCAAAGAAATATGTTTTTGTTGTATTATTTAAACATTTTTAATTATTTTACATAACAAATTATATATTACCAGTCTGGCAGTCAGTAAATATGTGTTTATGCCCTGCAGGCTGCAAGATATAACTCTCAACTTATTTGTTCTGAATTCATAGTATTATAGTGTTAACCACAGTCTTAGATATTATTCTTAGCCCTTAGGTATTAGCTTTTATTAAAATATATTATGCTAGTTCTAGTGAGTTTACTTAGTTCCTGAATTGAAATGGTTATCACTTATCAGTAGAAAACTAAAAAGTAAAAAATAATATGTTATTGGCCACTGGTCGTTACAGCAGCGCTAGTGAAGCTAAAAGGTGGAAAAACCATCCGTAACTCCGCCACTCAACATATTTTGAAGGAAACAACCCGCACACCCTCCTACCATGACGTGTCCAGTCCTCTATATCTTAGTTGGTGATTTGAAGTGATAAATATCTAAAACCTGATCCATGGCACGGCTATAGATATGAATGGTTGCTCAACGATGACAATTTTTTGACCGTGTAATGTTCTTATCAAAAACCTCTTGACTGCTAGCGCTTTCAGTGGAACTTGTAGACTACCGTTTACTGTGTAATTTATTTATGAAAAAAGTAGGGTTTGAAAACAGCTAATAAAGATGATGATAAAAATGATGAAGACTAAGATACACCACAAATTCAGCTAAAAGCCGTGTTCATGGTTACAGTCACGGTCTTAGAAGAATCTAAGACCGTGGTTAGAGTGATTAATGACTCGTTATCATAATTTATAATCTATGATTATTAAATCGATTTTGATCATAGATAATATAAGAATTCTTATATTATCTATGATTTTAGTAGGTAACTGTAGTACTGGGGAGTTGTTCTGGAATATCTCGTAAGATTCATCTCATTATTTTAATTTAATTAATTTCAAAGTGATTGTTGTGGAAATAAATTTTGGTTTCACGAATTTCAACAATCTCATCATATTACAGTAGTATATATTTGTATGTTCACAGTTCGTTTTTCCACGGTAATTTTTTTTGTTCAAGCGGGAATGTTCCCCTCGAACGACTCAGAATTACCGTATCACAAAATACGGTAATTTCACACTCAGTGTCCACCTATTTATCCCTCACACGAAAATATTTACCGTGTACACAAAACTAAATATTTTTATCCACGTTGGTTACACTGTTTTTTCAAATTTGATAAGCAACTTATTACGAAATAATTTGTTTTTTTATATCTGAATTTTTTTAAGTTACTCGTTTTTTTTTATTATTCAGTAATAAATGATTCGTTGTTTGGTGAAGTTGTGTTTTCTCAAGTTACTTAATCAATTTGTAAAAAATGAATTTACAAAAATATATCAACGATTTTCAATCATTAGTTTACCGTGTACGAAGTAATTCGACTCTAGCGTATCCAGAATTTTCTTCTCTCCATTCACGTTTAAAAACTTACAAAAAATTTCTTGAAAATTCTTTTCAAAATAAATACGATCTTTCTGAGTGCGGATTAAAATATTCTGGTATTGATGATATCGTTGAATGCTTCTGCTGCGGACTTATTCTCCATAATTGGGAGAAGCTGGACAATCCATGGATCGAACATTGCAGATACAACCCAAACTGCATTTATGTATTATTAATGCGAGGAAATCAGTTTGTTCAAAAAATACTAGCTTAATATTGTAAAACTGAACATAATATGTGTACTTGTGAAAATATGTCATACGATACAGTTTGTTAAATTATGTATATGTCATACTTAGTAATAAAAAAAAATATTGATTTGTAAACGACTTATATGTGTTAATATTTGATTCAATATCTCGTGAACGCATGGCTTAGCGGATTAACGCGTGTAGTTTAATTTAAAATAATTTCAGGTAAGTAAGTATATATAATTCTCTCCCCCTCCTGCATTCGATAATCGGCTATGTCATGCGTTCACACTTTTTGCATTTTTTTTTCTATAAAAATCTTAAATAAATCTGCAAGGTTTAGTATATAATATTCTTGCAGAAGAAAAAACTGTTAGTTCAAATTATATTCTCTGTCAGACATACTATACCTTATTTTTTTCATTTATTTAAAAAAAAGCAATATTCGTCATGGTTCCAGCAATAATTGTGTCGAAATCAACTTTTGACATCCGTCCATTTGGTAAGAAGAGTGTGACAGTTGGTTTATTAATTAGTAAACAAATTTCGATTATTGTATCATTTGAATGCAAGTTAACGAAAAAGATAATTACACTAAATTTACAGCAATGGTTTACCCTTATGTCCGAATCAAACTTTGTTTCTATTACTAATAATTTAAATACCAGATGTAAACGTGTGAAAATAACTGATGATTTAACATACTCAATTAATGCAAAGCAAAGTTCAATTACATTGAATATAAATGATGAATATATTACATTATCACATATATATTTCTGTAGATTAAAACAATTACAACACTGCATTGACCTGTATATAGCAGAAAAACAGAACGACTACAGAGTTTTCAAGCAACATTTGATACTGCTTACGAACTGATCAAAAATGATGTACGTGGTCTGCCAATCAGCTGCCAGAGGAACGAATTCACAAACCAGTATATTCAAAACTATGATTTCAATTATTATTCCCATTTACAAAACGATGACACATCATTTTTGTATGAAATATTACAATACCATTTCAATACAATGTCAGAGCTTATATTACAGGATTTATTAATATGAATACAAATGTATATATATTTATATATTGTTTATTGTTTAAATAAAGTTTTTTTATATATATATATATATAACAATCAAACTGCTAATTTGCTTTTTATTGTCCGTCGATCTGGATCCTGCAGCATTGTATCGAATACAGCCTTCATAGTCTGATTCAGACTGCTATTTAACGACTGGTCTTTCGATTTATCGCTCGTAAATATCTTTACGGATGCTTCCGAATGACGCCATCTATAAACATACAATAGTATAAATAGAATCATACTTTTAAACAGATACAAAAGGTGTTTCCAGTATTTACCTATCCTTAAGTGC